TATCAAAATTATAAGCTCCATAAACCAAAACTATGGTACGTAAAGAGAAAACAGTTTTATGTACATTTAAAAGTTCACGAATTTGTGTGGTACGGGAATCAGTGGGTCTTACAACTCATAAGGTTAATTTGAAGGAAAATCTTATTTTTCTCTTTTACTATGATAAGAAAATAACCGAGATTTACTTTCCGGAAAGAACTGAATTAATACTAAACCTAGCAAAGTAAGTCAAACTATTAAAGATTTGTTATATATTTGAAAAATTACCTAAATGAATAATGACCAAAATAAAAGAAATAACTTGATAGAAATAACATTATAGAAACCTGTGAACAAACCCTAATTTAAGAATTTTCTAGAGTGGTTCGATTTCTTTGTTTTATCGAAAAAGTTGCCAACGTCAGAGATAAAAACCTTGTTTTCAACACTCTTTTCATTTTCTAAGCGAGATGCTATTTGTAGTTATAATTAAAGTAAATAAAATAATAATTTAGAATTCCTTTATTCAATACAAGCTAGAGAAGTAGAGTGAAACTCTTGTCCAACAGCCCAGAATACGAGTTCAAATCACTTTCGGGTTTAGAAATATAATAAAGTTTCATATTGAAAGTTTTTATTATTATTTTCAGTTTATCAAAAAAGATAAACATGTAGTTAGAATACATTTTGCATTTATAATTCATTAATAAATATTAGGGCATGGCATCTTAACATTCCAATAAGTATTCAAATTCGATGACGAGGAATCCACTTTGAGACTAATAATGCTTGGAGACGGCTTGAATGTGTAATGTAGAAAACTTTTAATATAAGTTTTACAATAGCAAATGTACAACGTTTCGACAAGGTTTTGTCATCATCTCCAAGCATTATTCCAATAAGTACTTGTGACATTTACTTGATTTTAGAAGCCAATTTAAAGTACTGCTTTTCAATGCTAACTTTCCAAAGTTATATTACATTAAAATTATTTTAAACAGGCAATTCTAATCTCTGGAGCAGCGTAAATAATCTCATTGTTTAGTTTCAATCTTTTTCAATATTTGTTTATAAGAAGGCTTAGCAAATTCACATTTTGATTTTCTGATGCCTCTTTGCAGACAAACACGTCAGTTTTAATTTTATCTAATACACCAACCAAACATGATGTTTCTCACACGAGTAAGTTAAAAACACAAATTTTAATTTTTAAGTGTATGGGTAAACGAAGAGGAAATATAGACAAAGTAGAAGTAAGTTTTTATTTTCATTGTTTTAGCACAAACTATGTGAGCTCTGTCCGCGGCAGGAAATCGAAGTTCGAATTTTTTGCTTTAACTTCTTTGTCAAATTAATTCGTGGTGTTTTAAAAAAAAGTTTGTTTGACCCAGAAAAATTAATTTCAAAATGTGCAATAAGTTGGAGTAAAAGATAAATTCGAAAGGTTTTTGTTATTTACGGCGAAAAGCTGCAAAATATACTATATTCCTCTTTGCCCACCAAACCTCGAATTTCAGTGAAGTTTTTCATCCGAAATGAAAATGTTCTATAGTTATAATTAAATTGAATATAGTTATAATTTAGATTTTTTTTTCTCAATAACAGTCAGACAAGTAGATCGAAACCCTTCCCTAACAGACAAGGATAGGAATACCGTTCGTGCTTAAAAATAGAATAAATTTCATTCTGTCTGTTTTTGCATGTATTGATCCAAAATAATTAATGAACAATCCGTTGTTTCTAGCTATTTCCGTAAACAATCTGGAAAGTAAAATCTCAATCGGTAAATACAGAATATTTAGTAAATAAACGCTACATACGAATAATTATCCCATTATATATGTGTGTAGTATTTAATTAATATGGCCTTCATACATCTCTGCAACACAATGGATGAAATAACCAATCATCCTAAAAATCTAATTACATGTAATATAACAAGCTACTTTTTTAAGCACATGTACGTTTTCGTCACCTATCCTATCTAACAAACCAGCTCTCGACACCTTCTTTAATTAGTCTAGGAAGGTCACGTGAATAGAAAAAAAATATTGCCATGTGTTGAGTAAATAATATTATTAAATCTTTCTCCCACTTGGACGTTCCTCAGTGACTCAGCGATAAGTATGTTTTCTTTGTTTTAGAGCAGAGCCACATTCGGCTATCTGCTGTGTCCACCGCAGGAAATCGAACGGATTGTTGTTTTCTAACTACGTAAACTTAATGCTATCTCACCGGCTTATAATGCTAAAAATCGGGTTTCGATACACGTAGTGAGCACAGCACATATAGCTCATCGTGTAGCTTTGTACATAATTACAAACAAACACACTCACTTGGGCCTTGTTCATAATATTTGTATTTTTCTCTCTATAGAAGGAAAAGCAGGTTGAACACATATATGGGATACAAAAGGCAACAGACAGTTAGGACTCTCAGCGTACACAACGTTGAAGTAATACTGTGTTTAATTCTATTTCATTCAGAGATGCAAGGAAACGTTAAGGATGAATACAAGAAAGTATCATATTATCTTTCTTATACCACTAGCATTATTACCTTACAGTAGTTGATATCCTCTAATCATTTTATATTCTGTATATCATGGTAACGTGTATACGTAATCAAGATATTCCATTTAAAGAAGGTAACAAATTGTAATGGACGTTGAAAGTTGTGAAGATATTTTTTAGAAGTCTATCGAAAATAGTTAAAGGTATAAATATAGAGGCTACTCGTAGATATAAAGAAGAAAAACGTTAATATTTTCCAGTTCGCTTTTAGAAAAGAAAAGTGTAATAATCATAAACGAACGTAAACAGCATCCTATTATTATCACGTAATAGTGTTTTCAATATAATGTTTAATTGTTAAAGATAATTATATCATTGAATTTTTCATTATCATTTCATTGTACTGTAGACAGTACATAGACTATTTACTTACACGGTAAGTCTCACTGCCATTTTTCTTAATTGCTGAACATGTATATTTGTAAAAATCATTATTTTTCTGACTTATATGCGATATCTTTCCTACATTTGTTTTGTTGTATATTACCTTATAACTCTTACAGGGACCCCCGAAAAATTATCATAGCAATAAAGTTTGTTTCTTCAAGAGTAAGCCAGTTTAAAAACACGCAGTTAATCAAAATAATACACTTTTTTTTTATTAGCATAAAGTACTTAAAATTAAGGTTTGAAAGGACGACCGTTTAATTAGGAATAAACGTTTGTCCTCTTCGACACTTCCCTTTAATTATTTTGACTCTCTTTGTTCTGTATCAGTCGCAGAGATTGAATTCTGAATTTTAACGTTGTAACCCTTATGCTTACCACTGAGCCACTACGAAGTACAACTTGTAAAAACTATCCACTTTTTAGAAAAAATAGGTTTTCGCCTTTAACTCTAAGCCAGTAATAATCAATGAAAATGTTAACGGAGTGAGATTCGGACGCACCTCGCTGCTACAGCGGGACGAAATGTGCTAAAGGTATTCAGCTTGAATTCTCAAATGTTTGTAGAAGACTTTCAAGGCCGGTAAGCCACTGTTTATAGAAGACTTTCAAGGCCGGTCAGCCACTGTTTGTAGAAGACTTTCAAGACCGGTAAGCCACTGTTTGTAGAAGACTTTCAAGACCGGTAAGCCACTGTTTATAGAAGACTTTCAAGGCCGGTAAGCCACTGTTAGTAGAAGACTTTCAAGGCCGGTAAGCCACTGTTAGTAGAAGACTTTCAAGGCCGGTAAGCCACTGTTTATAGAAGACTTTCAAGGCCGGTAAGCCACTGTTAATAGAATACTTTCAAGGCCGGTAAGCCACTGTTTGTAGAAGACTTTCAAGGCCGGTAAGCCACTGTTTATATAAGACTTTCAAGACCGGTAAGCCACTGTTAGTAGAAGACTTTCAAGGCCGGTAAGCCACTGTCAGTAGAAGACTTTCAAGGCCGGTAAGCCACTGTTAGTAGAAGACTTTCAAGGCCGGTAAACCACTGTCAGTAGAAGACTTTCAAGGCCGGTAAGCCACTGTCAGTAGAAGACTTTCAAGGCCGGTAAACCACTGTTAATAGCTGCTGTTCAGTTAAAATACGATGAAAGTAATACTGATCTAAAAAGTTATAACGAAAATTCAAGTTTTAAATTATACTTGTATGGGTTAATTAGATGACCTATATTTGTTACTCAAGATAAGTATTTTTATTGTTTTTAATATACCCAACTTATTTCTTATAACATATATGATAGAACAAAAATTCCCATGAACAAATGAGTTTTTACAAGTAAGCTAAATTCTGATGAAAGTTGTACAAGAACGATAAATTCATATTCCATGTGACCGAACGTTCTGAATTGTATAAAGCTATATGCACATCATATATATGCAGTATAAAATCAACTCAAGCTAGTCATTCCATTGATTTAATACTCCATGGTGCAGTCCGTGCTTGAATGATGACCATTTTCATGTGCTTTATAGAGTTTCTTTTAAGGTTTAAATGACAAGTAACTCCTCCCACTGTTCTTTGCCGCCCTTTAACATATAGAAAGTTCATTTTCCATGTCTTATGGAGTCTCCACTAAATTAATCTTATGATAAAGCATTTCGTACTCAATATGATTCTAGTGCGCTTTGTTGACGTATCAACGTTATTTATCGGTTAGTTTCACCGCTAGTAGAAAATCAAGAAATCACGGTGTATTTAAACAGTCTACTGCACTCGTTAAAGACATAACCCCATTAAGATATTAAGTCCTAATAAAAATACAGCCTTAAATCAATGCTAAATATTTATTTAAGTGAGTAATGAGCACAAAGGTAACATATTTAAGATATAACCTAACTTAGGTTATAAGGAATGCGTCTCTACTTTCTTGATCTGCAAGACCATAAATCCTCTGTCTGTTTCGAGTTTATTAGCCCTCTGTGGTATGAGAACCCGTATGGTGCAGTACGTTTAGTGTTCTCTACGTTCTTAGGTTATTTTAAGCCATTACTGAAAGCAAATTTCTTTAAACTTACCTTATACATTCCAAGATTTTCCACAAAGCATTCTAGAACTGCATCCCGGCTAACGGCTGTAGTGACGTTGGGAATCGGGCCAGCGAAATCAGGAGGTAGTGCCTGGCTTGCTAAAACAATAATTAACTTATCAGTCTGTTTATTCGTGGGTAAAATACGTTTTTCAAATATTAACAATTTGAAAGAATTGGGTTTCAATTTATATTAATTATTAGTTTGGTATATATTGTGTATGATATAATAACATTTTTGAATATATATATACAAGTTATTTAATTCAAATAACAAAAACTATTCTTCATGAACAGATCCATATTAAGTTTTCTGTTAAAGTTTTGTACTTACTGCGCAAATTCAAAGGATAAATCTAAAGCAATAAATTATATTCACTTTCTGAAAACAGACTTATCTATTATATCCTTAAAGGAAACTGCGATGAATGGTTACCTATAAAGAAAACACATATTTCATAGTATTAGAAAATCTGCTAAAATGTCAACTGTGATCATAATGTTACATTAATCTATGACTAGTCACTTAAATAACGACAAAACTATCATTCATTTCTACTGTTTAACTAATTAGTCAGAAACCTAGAGGCAGATTTAATTAATAGTCAACAGTCGAATAGTAGATTTTTATAATTGCTTGCGAAATATATAAAGTATAGGTCAGTTGTCGACTCCCATTTAAACAAAGAATTAGAAACATGAAATGGGCAGTGAAGAAGATTGATTTGAGATCCACGGGCTTATATCTCACTGTATTATTATGTATATTAGGGATAACGCCATACATTTTTTCTTTCTTATCTATGTGTGTGTGTATATATATATATTCTATAATTATCGGACACCTTATGGGCAAATAACGTGTGACAAGAGAAAGAGCAGAAACTTAAAATAGAATGGCTTTGTTCAGTCTTATTAACACTTGGTTTACCGAATAAAAATATGGTTTTAGGAGTTTAGTTGGAGTCAGATAAAAATGGTTACAAACCGCGTGAAAATGTATATGCGTTAAACCACTGCCATTTTGTGACTACAAAAAAGTACAGTTATTATTATTGGTCTCCAGAATTTTAATTATCAAAACTGTCAAAACGCAATGTTCGTTTGAGGCAAGCCTTTTTTATGAGCAATATATTAATACAGTGTATATATATGAAATAATTGCGTGTGTTTGTGTGAGAACATGGAAGATGAATGGAATGTTATAGAAGAATAAACTTTGGGTTTAAAATAAGCAAGGAATGTTTTCAAGATGTTACTAAAATGCTGAATTGTTATATGTCATTAATGTGAGGATTACACATGAGCTTCAGTGTTGAACATTATATAAAACATGATGCATACCACCACATTTATTTAGTGTAAAACACGTTGAAGGAATGCGAACAATACTGCTGCAGAATTAAAGGCATTCCATCTAGATACTTGTGAGTCATGTAATGCGGCAGTAGCGATGATCTACGAAACGTCAACTAACAAGAAAACTGGTCCGAAACAGCTTGGATTAGTAGTTTAGCACATTCTACTTAGGACACGTTAGACACGCCGAGCACCATATATGTAACATAACATGTTTTCAATGTAATTTCTGATCACATTTACTCTTATTTCAGTGGTCGGTTTTCATTCATCGTGATTCTTTGACCAGTCTCTGTGGTTGTTTAATAACTACCTTGTAAATAGCACCCCAGGGTCAATATTTATTCAGACTATCACAGTTTGTTATAACATGGTAAAATATGAACGATTTGAGACGATCCTTTATATACTGTTAATAATTTTGATTTCAAGACTATCAACATATTATTTATCTGGATTAAAGATAAAGACGGGAGTTTTGTTTTCGAACAAATTTTATCTAAGATAAGCACTTTGAAGTTTTCTAGTTACAAAGTAGATATTTCAGGGAATCTCTCGTTGTTGATTTCAAACCATGAGAAACTATAGGCTGCTGAATATGCTACAAAGTAGCACAGTTCCAGTTCCTGAAATTGTGATTGTTTACATTGAGGGGGTTGTATTACCCCATTTTAGTACCCACGTTCTTTGGCACCATCCTAGATGATGCAAGCGCACGCTTTCCCGATTCCTGCAGAAAGTATATAGATTCCCGCAGGAAGTATATAGATCATTATTTAAGTGATTTATAAACAGTTGATAAATTCAGTACTTATTTTAAATTGCGATTGTTATGAGTTAAGTGGGAGTCATTTTTTCCCCAACTTTAAGAGTCGTTTTATAATACCTTATGTGTAAGACGGTCCCCGATCATAAGAAATGCATTTTTTTGAATATCTAAAATAAGATCTATATTCAATCTTTGTTAAAACTAGAAATTATATTTATTAACCTTTCTGTTTTCTAGACATTCACCCTAGTTGGTGAAAACCACATTCAATGGTAATGTAGCCATCTAACCCCGCCTTCACTAACATTTTTTGAAAGCTGCACCAGCGAAATTGTGAAGTGTGTATGATCGCAAGGAATCGTTGTGATTCTATTTTCTTATCCCATCTTTCTCGTGAAAACAACCGATGATTTCGAGATATGACTATAAGTTTATGAGATTTGTCAACTACAAATCCTTGTATATTATTTTGTTTATGATACCAAGAGATATTTTCAACCTCATCGCAATGTGTTTTTTTTTTCTTTTGGTTTGTTTTTATCTTTTGTAACTATAGCCTCCACTTCACAGGTGACCGCGTTGCTCAAAGTTGCATTCGGAAATCACTGCTTGATGTAACCTCGACTGTGAGAATGATTCTTATGAAAACATTCATTGTTTTTTTTTCAATACATCACTTAACAAACTTGCTGAGCGAACATCGTTTCACAGAAAGAACAGTGATATATTGTTTCATAAGCTTATTATCGAACGGTCGGTAGTCCAACTATATATATATATGTGTGTGTGTGTGTGTGTGTGTGTGTGTGTGTGTGTGTAAACCGTTCGTTTAAAGTTCTATCATTACGCATATTTCAGTAATGTAACTTGAATACATATAACACGACTGATTATTGGATTTATAATATTTTGGAATGTTAATTGTTTTCAGGAAGGTATTTTAATTAACAAAATTCTGTAATGGATGTCAAAGTTGATTGTCTTATTAGATTTCTTCTATTATTTCAAAAACAAATGTCCAAATATCTTATATTTGAGGAAAATAATAAAGACTAACTATTATTCTCAACTTTCATAAAAGTCTCATTACTTTTTGATTTAAGATTTAATTAGTCTTTGCATACCATCCCCTCTCGCTTTCTTTCTCGTCACTTTTTAAACGCATACCCAAGATTTTGTTAAAGTTATCTAGCATCTTCTGTGTGTGTTAAAGGATTTATAATGCATTTATTTGACATCATATCTTAATTAACACATAGCAAAAATCAATAAAAAGCTAGGTAAACTATTATAAATGAAAGTCATTTGCCAAAGTATAAGAGTCTGACATAAGAAAAAGTACGTTTACATTTTCCTGTAAAAGTTAACTGCGTAAAATTTTCTGAGGGCAATCCAGAAAACCTAAATAGCAAAAAAAAATACTTTCCGCCAGAAATACCTGGAAATCCACAGACCTAAAGTGATTCCAAACCTCAGGGCCCGGCATGGCCAGGTGGTTAGGGCAATCTGAGGGTCGCGGGCTCGAATACCCGTCACACCAAACATGCTCGCCCTTTCAGCCGTGGGGACTTTATAATGTTACGGTCAATCCCACTATTTGTTTGTAAAAGAGTAGCTCAAGATTTGGCGGTGGGTGGTGTTAACTAGCTACCTTCCTTCTAGTCTATTACTGCTAAATGGACGGCTAGAGCAGATAGCCCTCGTGCAGCTTTGCGCGAAATTAAGAACCAATAAACCAAACTTCAGCTACGAGAGATCCTAGACCATTAAGTTTATCAGAAACGCTGAAAAGTAAGGATGGCGATCAAAGTTTCATATAGTATCGATGAAGTGAATAAACTCACTAGTAAACTCAAAAAACAGAATACCAGCTTTGAAGCGTTATATATAAAATGAAATGGTATACTTGGTATTTTCGGCCTGAATGAGTAGTTCAGAAATATACTATTTATAACTGCCATGTAAGAAAAGCGAACTAAATTATTTTTGATTATTTAATCTCAATGACCGTGAACAGTCCTGTGGTCTCAACATAAAATACATTTAGCCAATATATATATATATATACATATAATCTCATACATATATATATATTCACATTAAATTTAATGTTAAGTTAATTTGTGTTTTAATTATTATTTTTTTTAAATGACACTTCAGAAATGTCATATGTCATTTCATATCAAGTACTTAAGAACTGTTCCTTGTAACTTAAGATATTCACAATTTACCTCCTGACCCCCACCCCCATCTTCTAGGAATCTATCAGGTGCCGACATTTTTGGTAGCTACTTGCCCGCCAGTGGCACAACGGCGTGTCAGCAAACTTACAACGCTAGAAACCGGGTGGGCAGAGAACAGAAAGCCCATTGTGTTGCTTTGTGCTTAACTTCAAACAACTGGTAGTTACTTTTTTTTTCTATTTTTGGATCTTCAACTAACAGTTACAAAATGAGGTACAATATCAATGCACTGTTATTTTCAGAAAACGATATACACCAGTCAAGCATCAAATATATGAAAAGGTTATAAATGTTTGTTTCTTATTAAAGGCTGACTTTTTCAGAAATCCCTAAATGTATAAATTAACCGTAGCGACTGTTGTCAATGTATTTTTAAGAACTTAGCTAAGTTGTGACAAAAAAAATTATTTTACAACTAATTTAAAACTAAAAGTTGCGCAACTGTTTTGGGCAAAAATAATATATACAATAATTTCAAATTAGGGACGGGATATACCGTTATTGGTTTCTGTTGTTGAAAAATTAACTTTCTGATATTTGGAAAAGCTACCAAAAATGGAAACTCAAATGAGAGTAAAGTGACATTACCTCGAGAACAGTGCACCATAACCAAAAATGCTCTTAAAGGGATGAGAACGATGTTCTTCCCTAAATATCTCTTATAACGATGAACTGGGTATGTACTAATTTTAATAAAAAATTCGTTATAAATACCAGGCGATCCATTA